TTATTTATCTATTTAGCTTCACCTTTTTAATTAGACAGTCAATTTACTATATTAACAGGCATTGACCGTTGGCAAATGAATTAGAGGTCACGAAATTGTATGACGTCAATACATTCTGCTCAATTTGTGATCTTCGCCTTGTTCAAATTTCTTCCGGGAAAGCAATGTTTCAATTTTCTAAAAAAAAGGCAGAAGCAATAAACCGGTGGTTCGCTGGAGTTAAACGCAACCTAAGCAGGTGTCCATCAGATATGAATTCTGTTTGATAGACAAACAAGAGTCAGAATAATATATTCAAAATAGACTGGTTGTTGGACTGGATGAGGAGCGCGAGCCTAACGTTCCAGTCGTCATACCGGGAACAAAACAGGCCAATAACCTACTGAAGCCTAGACCTCGAATGAGAACTCAGTCCATAGCTGCACTAGTCTGGTGCGGACGTAAAAAGCCCTGTACGTAGTCGCTACCAAACCTCTATAAAGGTAACTTGGTCTGTTGCTGCTCTCATATCCGGTTATGGAGTCCTGTAGGAGTCACGAAGTTGCAAAATGAGCTCATAGTTTAAACATCCATAATCGTAGAATGAAAATCTAAATGATTATAAAAGCAGGTTTCATAAATACGGAAAACGTAGCATGTTCTTCCTTGACAGAGGAATGCACACGCAAGTTGTGCATACGTAGTAATGAAATACTCTAATAAATCATTATTTTAAAAAATAACTAACTAAAGGCTTTTCCTGTGAACAGGAGACTTAATCACGCACCCTCGTTGTCGCTGGCTTTTTTGGTAAATGCTTTTAAGAAATATCCAACTTCGAAGGTTTCGATGAAGCTATTTGTCTTGGCAATCAATTCAGAACCCTGAAAACGGACATTTATACTTCTAGGGCATCCAGAAATCCTACCAGCTATACCGCTGCCAAAACCAATACAGTAAATTAAAGTCTGTTTTTTGTCTGCAACTGCTAACTAAATTCCGATTTTTCCAGTTACTGAACAGGCTCGTAACCCCATACGACAAATCTTAAGCAGGAGACATCCTCCTACGTATGAAGTCAAGCGAAAGCGCAGTTCCTTTAAGAACACTCCCCGCTGCGTTAGAGAGGAACACAAGCACCAGATACGGACGGGATCGATCTCACAAGTTCTTTCAACTCACAAAAACCAGCCGATTATTCGAGTCAAGCTGGCTCGGGAGACGGAGTTATCTTAATAGATAATAACTTCCGCGAGACGAAGGGGGATAGAAATAGGGAGTAAGATTCTGTTTGTGTACTACGAAGGGCTGAGGAGGAGACGTGTGTCGATTACGGCAGCTGTTTGGTGACAGGAAAGAAAACGAAAAGTGAATGCTTAGCCCAAAACTGGAAAGCGCTATTCTAGTAGATGGAATTATAGTTACCCAGGATGAGCGTAGACAGCTGGTCACTCACTTCTGTGTAGCGCAGGGGCGGAACGGTCGCATCTTCTCTATATTGTACAGGCGAGTTGATTATGGATTTCATCACCAGAGAGCAGACTGCTGTATCCTTGCACAGGGGCCCCCACGTAAACATAACTGCAAGTACAAATGACGCATGAGTTAGCAGCACTTAGTGAGGGAAAGAGAGAGAACCATCAACAATTAAGAAGTCACGACATTTATTTAAGAGGAGTTATAAGAATTCACGGTGAGGTTGTCTCTAGCGGTCTTTTGAAGGTCCTTATGTATTATAGCTAC